CAGCCTAGCACAGTGGGAGAAAGAACAGCGACCTCAGGGCTCACTTCACAGCCGGTGTGGGGGCAAATGCACCAGTTTCCCAGAGTTTAGTGCTAAATTTAGAGGCCAGCTTCTTGTGAGCTCAGTCTTTGTTGAGTCAGAGGTGAAACCCAGGGCGGAGGAAACTCACCTTCCTGGCTGGCATGTGCCACTGCTGTGGGCAGCATAAGAAGCCGTGCCTGTCCCCACACAGTGCTTTGGCCCAGCTGGAGCTGCACAGCCATCACGGCAGGCCTCCAACACTGCCAGGCCTTGTCTGGAGGATGCTACTGCCCAGCCTGTCCTGGGGTGTTCTCAGGACACCTGGACACCAAGAAAAGTGGCTCACTATGGGGACTCCTGGGCCTGTCTGTTGGCACTGAGGAGAGTACTGTGTGAGGAGGCCAGGCTGGGGATCCAGGGACCACCTGTACAAGTGGGGCATTAAGGCTGGGAGTCCCCTCACTAGTGGTCATGAGATCAGTTGTGTGGCTCACAACCAGCACTTGAGAAAATGAAATAAAATGATCAGAGGCTGAAAGTAGATAGGGTAGGTTTAGTCTTAGGATGCTATTGTATAGTTGGTGAGCACTCCACTAATACAGCATGTGTTTGTTTGAAGGACCAAAGAGGGCCAGGAACTGTTCCAACACAATGGAACTGCAGTCGCAGCAGAAGAGAGACCTGGATTTGAACACTGGTCTACCATCAGCCAGGGGGACTTGGCCCATGCAGCATTTCTAAGTCTCCATCCCTCTCCAATCCCTGTTATTACAACAGACAATAATGTTTTCTAGAAACCGTGTGGTGAAAGCTAGAGCTGGTGCTTGCTCAGGACCCAGCATGAGTTGCAGGTGCTCCATACCTAGAAGCTACTAACTTGCTGTGAATACTGGGCGCTTGGGACCTGGAAGCCACTTAACTCTTACGGATACTGAGCCACTGGGGTGTGGTGTGGAGGGACTAAAACAAAGTTCGAGGTTTTGCACGCAGAAGAACTGACAGCAGAACCGAGGCCTAGGCTGTGCCAGAGAGCATGTGGAAGGAAAGGGAGGGAGAAGCACCTCCTGGGGCATCATCTCCCAGGTGTGGGTATGGCGAGGTTTTCTCAGGAGCAGTCAGAGTGTTTGCCAGATGGAGCATGGAGCGTGGGAGACGCATGGAGGGAGTGGGTCGGGCCTTGAAGCCACGTGAGGCACCATCCTGGGACCCAGGAGAATGTGGCTTGAACGTGTCCTGCTAAGGCAAGTGTTGAACTTAGTGGCCAGTGTGCTGGCGTGGAGAGGTGAGCCTTTTGGAGGTGCTGGTCTCCTGAAGGCTCCTCCCTTGAGAGAGTCTTCCTCAGCATTTGCCCTTTGCCTTCTGCCTTTGGCCCTGAAGGACACAGCAAGAGGCCCTCCAGCACCATGAGCAATGCTTTTCTTTTTTCTTTCTTTCTTTCTTTTTTTTTTTCTGGCACCAAGAATCGAACTCACGACCTTGCACTTGCCAGGCAGGTGCTGTGCCGCTGAGCTAAATCTCCAGCCCGCCCCGCTTTTTTTTCTGCGAGCAATGCTTTTCTGTGTGTGTCAGTTTCCCAGCCTCTGGTGCTCTGTTATAGCAGCAGGAATGGATGAAGTCAGGGCCTCATCAGGAAATGGTACAATCAGATCTGCCTTCTTACTCTGTGATGCTGTTTTCCCATAATTAATTCGCAAAAATCTCTCTGCCCGGAAACTCCTCCCAGCATCGTGGCTTAGAGAGGCACCTCACTGGCTGAGCCCTTGGGAGAGGAAGTCAAGGTTTGCCTGGTACAGGCTGCCCTTGCTCAGTAGTGAGCTCACCGTTCTGAAGATAAGCAAGCAGGGGGTGCTATGGCCCTGGGGAAGGTTGGGTAGAGAGGAAGAAGCCCTGCAGGACTCTGCAGGCCCTGAGGTCCAGGTTGATACTGCTGCTGTCTGTGGAGGAGAGGGGAGTCCAGTGTCCTCCTCCCTGGGGGTCTGTTCAGCTGCAGAGGGAAGGACTCTGAGCCTGACCCAGGCTGGTCTTGGGAAGGGCTATCTTCCAGGAGTGACGGGCCCTGTACTGAGTCCCTCATGGTACTAGCACTGCACAGCTTTCACACAACCTGGCAACCCTGAGCCACAGGGAGAGGGGCAGGCTGCAACCCTCTGTGTGTGGACATTTGTAAAATACACAAGTATATTTCTGCAGGAGAGATTTCTAGGAGTAGAATTTCAGGGCGATGGTGTATATATCTTTGTGAAAGTGTTATTACTTCTCTTCCATAAAACTTATAACACTCTTCTGCCAACATTTCTGCTTTTGTCACCAAGCTATATCAATCTTTTTCCTTCTTGACAAACCTTCTGGTGAAAAATGGTTTACCAGTGCATTTAACTGGAGGTTGAGTATATTTTCATAGGTTCATATGCATTTTATTTCCTGAAATCTGTCTGTTCATATTCTTTGCCCACTTTCTTATGCATTTTTTGGTCTTTTCTTCTCCAAATTGATATGTGATCTCTTCATCCAGTAGGATAATTAGCACTTTGTCTGCAATGTGAATTGCAAATATTTAATTTTTCTTCGATTGGATCTTGTTTGGCTTAAGAGGTTCACTGTAATATTTATTTCTTCAGAATCAAATTCATTAATATTTTCCTTTCTCTCTCTCCTCTCTCTTCCTCTTTCTCAGCTTCTAGGTTTGAGTCATACTTAGAAAGCTCTTCCCTCCTATGACAAAATAATAAAAATTTCCAATCATTATGCTTCAAAAATATTAGTTAAATATAGGGTAAGGAGGAAATTGGCCCCTTCAAGGCTGACCGGTGATAAAACCTCTGATTTAAACCACAGAAAAAAAGGAGGTCTCAGCTTTTGAAGCCAGAAAACAGAGCTGGCCCTCCCCACCCTGGCAGGCAGCCTCATGGCAATCCCAGTCCAGTCAGCCAGACAGCCAGCTCTTGCCCAGCCTGTGGCCCAGGCCTGGGCATGCCAGCACGTGCTGTGCCCCCCTGTAAGGCAGCCACCATCACAACCCCACTGGCTGGCTGTGTGGGGCTGCTCTGAGAGCAGGTGACACTCTGAGCTTGGGAAGCCACTGGAACGTCAGGTCCTGTGCATGTGCTTATGGCCTCCTTGGTTACCAGGAAATACACGCCCAGCTGAGCAACACCCGTGCCCGCCATCCTCAGAGCTGCCCCACGGAAGCAGCCCAAGTCCTCTCTCACTCCGTTTCCCACCTTCTCCTGAACCTGTCTTCGCTGTTCTTCCCTCAGCGCCACCACGTCCCTCACTCTGTGGTTGCCTCGTTCAGGTTGGACAATGGAGCATGTCCTCAGGGGTCACTGCCATGGGCCCTCTCCCACCCTGGTTCTCCTTCCAGTGCTGTGCCCTTGAGGGGGACTGGGCATACCTGGTTGGAGCCAGACAGGCAGCCACCCTCTTCATCCTGACCGACAGAACCTTGGCTTAGTTCGGTGTCAGCTGGCCAGGTCCTGCTCTGGCCCACGTGGCTGTGATTCTCTTTTTAAATAAGCCAGCTGTGGCAGTTTGATCTCCCTGGGAGGAGAAGGGGCCTGGGTCACAGGTCGTGTGTGTGTGTGTGTGGGGGGGGGACACAATGGGAAGTTACCCAGTGAATTCTGGGAAGTACTTTCTTGCTCTGAAAAGGAGAGAGATAATAAGTTCTTCTCTACTACACCTTTTATTGGTCTGTATGTGATGCCTGGAACCGTGCCTGACATTCTGAGATCATGAGGGGAGGTGACTCCCCCTCAAGCTGATGAGGGCAGAAAGGAGGCAGGGAGGAACATGAGTCCCTGGCAATACTGCACTGCTGAACTGACTGGATCTAGAATCGCCCCACCTCTGTTACGGCATGAGACACAAATACATGCAGTGCTCTGTAGCCAGGAACTTACGTCACCGCTAAAAGGGTGACGTCTCCGGATACATCAGGGTGCCCAACAGGCAGAGCCATGGCACAGTGTGCCTAGCGCTGGGGTTCTGACCATCCAGTACCATCCCTCACTGACATGGGGGCTAGAGGAAGGCAGGTCTGACCAGGCGTGGGCACTGCCAAGTGGGGCAGTAGGGCCAGCAGGGCAGTGGGGGCAGTGGGGACAGCGGAAGGGTGTCACTGCCATGGCCCCGTCTCCCCCAGCACCTGCCGCTCGCTCTCTATAAGGATGCAGCTTGGAGCCCTGCTGGAGAGTGCTGGGGGGTTGGAGGAACTGGGCTGTGGGAGGTGTGGTGGGACCCTGAGCCCCGCAGGTTCTGGGCAGTAGGCAGGGAAGGAGCAGTGGGCAGGAGAGGAGGCTGCCGTGCTAGTCCAGGCACAGAGGAAGCATGCGTGGCACAGATAGGTGGCTGTGGATGATGAGGGTGGCTGTGTAGCTTGCCTGGAGATAGGACAGGACTCAGACTCAGTGGTGACAGTGGTCCTGGAGCCTGTGGTCCCTGCCTTGTAGGTAGACGGCGACACCTCCCATGACGGTCTCTTTGGAGATGCCGACAGAGCTGGTGTGGAGGAGGGGTAGGCAGGGAGGCCACACTGGCCACCAGCCAGGGGCAAGACAGAGCACGGCCCCATGCTCCATTTGGAGGGGAGCCGGGGACAAGTGACCATCTGGGAGCTGGGCAGGTCTAAGGCGGGTCACGACTTTCTGGCTGAAGCAAGGGTTATGGGAGGTGGCAGGAGGCAAGGGCACAGGAATCCTTGACCCTTGCCTCCCTGGTGCCTGACTGTGGGGGCCTGGGCACAGGGCAGCCTGGGGCTTGTGGGCATGTCCAAGAGCACAGGCATCCTGCACAGCCACCCAGACTTACTTGCTTTCTGCCACCTACAGTTCCGGAGGCTACACACGACCTTTCTGCATCTGCTTCCTCCTTCCCACATGACAGGAGGATGCAGATGCCATCGGAGTCTGGCCCACCACTGGTGACAGGTGGGCACCAGCTGCTGGATTCTGTTGCCATAGCAACAAGGTAGGGAAAACTGCCCGGAGCTCAGAGGCTGCTCAGCCTACAGGGCTGGCCTGCCAGCTGTCCATCACCTCTCCCAGGCACCACCACACCGTGTCTGGACTGTTTGAGATGGGAAATTTAAGTGGATAGGAAGGTAGGGGGTCAGCCAAGGATGTTGTCTCCTTCGTCCCCTCATATATACTTGCTACCACCAGCCCCAAACAGGTAATTTCCTCTTTGTCAGTTGGTAGCAGGAAGTGGTGGTCCACTTCCTGTTGACATCTGGACTCTTAAAAAGTACAGCACGGTGATGCTGGAGCACCATTTGGAGGACGGCTCCATGGTGGGAGCCAGCACTGGACTTGGTATCCTCATGTGCACCAGCTGCCATAGCAGAATGCATGGCATAGCCCTGGCCGCTTGCATGGTGGGCACCTGTTCTGCCACAGTTTTTGACTTGGGAAATCTCTCAGTCTCTGCTGGGGACCCTGTTGGTTTGCTGGTGGCCCCTTCTCCATGTGCACCCATGTGGCCTTTCCTCCTAGTGAGGGTAGCAGAAGAGGGGCTCTCTGACCTCCTCTCTATTCAAGATTAAATCCCACCAGGAAGAACCCATCCTGAGGCCTCATCCAGCAGAGCTTGTTTCCAAGCCTCTCTCCATATACATCACAGGTTGTGTTATATCTTCAGAATATGAATCTGGGGGGACACAAACATTTAGTCCTAGTCCAGGGCATACACACTTTGAAAGTGGACCTTCAGTGCCTATCAGGAAATATTTTTTCTTTCTTTCTTCCTTCCTTCATTCATTTTTTTGCAGTGCCAGCTGCTGTTGAATGTGGTAGGGATACAGCAGTGAACAAAACAGTCAAAAAATTCCTGCTGCCGTGAATTTTACCTTTTAATAGAAAGAGATGAAACGATTAGCAAGTAGTTATACAGTCAGTGGGTGATAAGCACAATTAAAAAGTGCAAAGCTGGGAAGAATGACAAACAGAGAGGCTAGGGGACTTGCTTGTCTATCCAGAGCTGCTTATGTGGCCCTGGAAACACATCTTCAGCCTTCCTGTGATAGGGAGCGGAGCTGAGTGGAGGCCACTGAGGCTCTGCTTTGCAGTCACTGGCTGCTTCCTGGTCACATGATGCCCTTGGAGGGCTCAGGGCTCCTTCCTCAGCCCAAGATAGCCTAGGGCTCCCCAAGGTTCTGCCAGCTCTCTGGGCTGTACTTTCTCTACCTCCTCCTTCCTCTGGGGCCAGCGTCTCACTGTCATCCCACTGCAACAAGCCAGGCCTGCCCCACCCCTATTTCTTCTCACCAGTACTTTCCCCCTAACTAAAGTCTTGCGAGGTGAATCCCTCCTTGGTCTTAGTCCACTAACACAGATCTGAGGAGTCAGAGACTAAGCCATAGGACTGCTGAGGACATTTGGGCCTGAAGGGGAAGCAGAGGCCACAATGAGCCTCAAACAGTGCATGCCTGGCTTATGTGGGACCTGGGACTTGGCTGTTCTCTGCTCACATGGTGAACTGTTGGCTTGTGCACATGCCAGGGATGCTGGCAGAAGACAGAGACTTCTGAAAGGAAGGTGAGTATACTTAGGTCTGGCCACAAAGTCCATTGGTCAAAACAGACCCAAAGAGCAGTGCCAGTTCAAGGGAGGGAGGGGAAATGTTTAAGGATGGGGCAGCAAAGTCCCCTTTTTGAGAGAGGGTACAGGGGAAGCAGCATTGCAGCTGGTTTTCACATCACCACCATAGGAAGGCCCAGAGCCTTAGCAGTTTGAGGACACAGAGAAGAGACCTCGAGTGACCAAACAGGGTCTCATGGGACCCACGTGCATGTAGCCTGCCACTTCTCACCCAAGCTCTCGGAGTAAACCTCACCAGCCAGGCCTAGCAGCACCCTCCCGGATGGTCTCTCGTGCTGGCCTGGGGCCAGGATGAACTGACTGTTGGATCCGCAGTACTCACATTCTACCTTTGGAGCAGCAGGGAGAAGAAAAGCAGCCCAGCATAAAGGGCCAAGCCCACTGTACCCCACACCATTGCTTTCCACACACTGCCAACAGCGCCCATCACAGGGCCAGCTGTCACCGCACCCACCTGCCACCAGGACCAGCTGGCTGCTGAAGTAGGAAAGCAGTTTTCTCATGTAGAACATGTCACTGTTGGAAGTTTCTCTCTCATCATTAACTAATTTGCTGAGCTCTGCCACAGCCCTTGTTATCTATAACCATGGTAACGATGCAATGAGCTGTGTGTGCATTTATTTTGGATGCTAGAAGCCCAAGCCCAGTTTATTTCTATTGCTCAGCCTCTGAGCACTTAGGTGGGGTTGGAGTTGGAGCTCCAGCCCTTGGTCGTGGGCCTTCTCACAGAGCTGGGTGGGGACCGTGGTGTCCCTACATGTCAGTGAGGGGCTGGGATCACTGTGGAAATCCTGCCAGCAGTGTCTTCCTACGAGGCAGGCTGTGTGCATACGCCCAGCCCACCACGGAGGATGTGTGCAGGGCTGGGCGGCTGCTGCATCTGACAGTCCCCCTTTCTGCTAATTTGGTGTCCTCGCTATATAATTATACTGTGAAATTCCCCGACTGAAGACTTTGTTTTAATATCCTTCCCTGACTCCCACCACTCGTCGCCCAGATCCGTGAATGGGAAAGTGGGTGTTTGCAGCTTTTGCCGGAGAACAAGGATGTTATGCAACCTGCCTTTCTCTAGATTTCTGCAGTGCTACCCCACACTGGGCCCTGAGAGGAGGAGAAGCCTTTAGGGACCACGCTGGGCCTCAGTTTCCTTACCTGTAAAGTGGGGGAGAAATCTGCCTTCCTTGCATAGGGACCTGCGGAGAAGGATCTTGGCATCTGTGCCTTTGGACTGCCAGGGAGTGTGGCAGAAGCTTGCGGTGAGGTTGATATCATTCCTTGAGCTGCGGATACTCCCTTTACACATGGGGTCAATAATGGGGGTTTTACTCCGGGGTTTAGACAGGACACGGCCCCAAATGCCCCAAGGTGAGCCATTATTCAGCATCTGGCATTTTTGAGAGTGTCTTAAAGGCCAAATGTCCTGTCCCTCTGTGGGAGCCTGAGGCCTGGGTGTGTCTGCAGCTGGCCCTGGGCTGGGCTGCTATCCAGTGAGATATGGTCAGAGCTGGCAACTAATGGGCCTGTCAGCTCGATTCAGAGCACTTCGCGGAGCTCCCCGGAGGCAGGTGCCGACGCCACATCGATCAGCACTGATCCCTGATACTCCTAACATTTCCTGCTTGCGTCCTCTGTCCGTCCGGGTCAGTGGTCACACTGAGTCGCTGATGCGTCCTACAGGGCCGGATGCCCACAGTCCGGCCCCGGGCAGGGTCAGCTCCCAGCATTCAGAGGATGCTGTTTCTTTGTGTTTATGTTTTAAAACATCCGTTTTTTTCTTATTTTCCATACATAAAGAAAGCACTTAGAACGCCTTTGGCTGTGCTTCCCTCTCGCACTTGTCTGCCCATGTTTATTTAAGCATAGATGGAGGTTGGGGAGGACTTTGACCTCCAAAGAGCTCACGGCTGTGCAAATTTCTAGGGAGAGGTGTGGGGTTGCAGAGAACCCTCACATCCTCAGAGACTAAAGAGAGTTGTGGGAACAGTGGAGATGTTTGCTTTGTTTTGAATGATTGCACCTCTGTATTTGATTTTAACATATTTTTAAAAGGTAAACAGCACCGGCTACTTTGGAATTGGAGATAAAGCTTAAGACGACAGTGTTAAAGCACCTTGCAGGGGAACCACGTCTACCTGACACCACTCTGTATGAGCCCTGCTGCTCTGGACCAGCCTCCATGCCAGGGTCAACCAGGCACTCACCCTCCTGGGGGCGGGTCTTTGGTGGCTCATTCTGCAGAGGAGCCTGAGCAAGCCATCTTGGCTCTTTCCACACACCCTGTGTTCTGCACAGGTATGGTGGCTGCCGGTGCTGGCAGGAGGTGCCCGGCTATCTGTACACCTCTCCTGAAAAGCCCTGGGCAAACTCTGGGGTCACCCTGCCCTGCTCCAAGAGAAGGCAGAGCACCAGGCTGCATTGAGATGCTGCTTCTGGCTGGCGGTGGTCTCACCTGCATTGACCCCTGGCCAGTGCAGACTCATTTCAGTGGCTCTGGAGCCAAGGGGCCCCACCTTTGCCCTAGATGTCAGCATGGGGGACCGGTCCTTGAAGATGGAGGTTAGCAGATTTCAAAGGTGGAGACTGAAGTCTGCGCTTCTATTGTTTGCATGGTTGCTTGAGGCCAGAGAGGCAAGGGTGGCCACGGCCCTCCCTGGCACTAGGGGGTTGAGGACGCGCTCCCTCATTTTGGTGTGGTCTCAGCAAAGCTTTGGATTGTGGCTCTGTCTGTGACTTTGAGTAAGTGACTTCTGTGACTTGGAGGAGGTCCTCAGCCCGGGGTGCTATTGGGAAAGATTGGTGGGTGTGAGGTCCGTGGTGAAGGGGGCTGTGTCCCCAGAGGGGGACCATGGCCTCCACCTTCTGTCCTCTTTCTTGCTTTCCCAGACACAAGCTGACCAGTGCTGCCAGCCATGATGTGCTGCCTTCACCGTGGTTCTACAAACAAGAGGCCCAACCGTCTCCACAAGTGTGAGCCACGACAGAACTTTCATCCATGGATCATTTCAAGTGGTTTGTTGTAGCCTGGAAAGCCGACCAACACAACTGCCCCACCATTCTGAGGTTCAGGCTCCTTATCTCTGAGAGAGGGCTTCAAAGTACCTTACAGAGTTGAAAGAGGACTCCATTAAATGCTGTCAAATGTGTTGGAATCTCCAAATAATTAATTCTGATAATAATGACCAGAAGGCCAACTGTGGGGAAAGTTCTGCACGGTGAGCAGAGGGATTCAGAGGCATTGCTATCCATGTGGGAGGGGGAGGAGCAGGCTTGCTTCACACGGGCCAGCGGGGCTGGGGTGCTGGGTGGCACTGTGTGGTCTGGGACCAGGTTCTACCTGTGCTGCTCACCGCACAGTGACTTTGGGTGGCCTCAGCACTGAGTTGGGCTGTCTTCTGCTCCTTTCCCACCCTGAAGGAGTCAATGGCTGCAAGGTCCGCGGATGTGGTGTCTCCAGCTCCTCCAGCCCAGCCCCATCCCTGCTGACCTCCCTTCTGTGTGGTCAAGCTGCCTGTGCTCCTGCTGGCTGGTGCTGACCATGGCATGCTGGCTCCTCAGCTGCCTGTGTGGACCAGGCACAAACTTGGGATTCTGCTGTCGGGCCCCATCTCAGGCTGGGATGCCACTGGCTCTGCAGCTGTCTGCCCTGCACTCTCCTCCCAGGGTCTGCAGCTCCCAGGCTATCTCCATGTCTCTTCCGGACCAGCAGATGTTTCCAAGACACCACTGAGGTCTGGCAGGTGACCCCTCTCTTGGGACAGCCACACAGCAGACAGGCTGATGATCAGGCCCCCTGTGCCACCTCCCCTCCTCAGCCCCTGGCTCTGGAGTGACCTAGGTGTGTCTTCTGGCTTTGCATGCTTAACCCCAGCTTGTCACAGCACAGTGCAGGGCTCATATGGACCCATGAGATGCCCAGCACCTCCCAGCACTGGTCCTTGGTGTGGGGTTTGTGCCCATCACTCATGCCAGTCTCAGACACACAGCTTTGCGCCGTCATACATGTTCCTCAGTGTCATATCTGGGATCCAGCAGCTAGGCCAAGCACTGGCCCCGGCATAGCACCAGCTCACATCAGGAGGTTGCAAGAAGGGGATTATCTTGGAGGCTGAATTTCCTCCTGGAGTCTGCAATGGTCTAGAGGTGTTGCTGAGCTCACACAGCAAAATATAGCCAGGAGCAAAATACAGGGTCAGGACCAAGGCTTCGCTTCCCAGGGTAGATCAAAGGTGGCTTGTCCAGTCTACGATGAGCACTTAGTTTGCCCCCTGGCCCCTAGCAGTGCTTGAGGACAGGGATACTAAGTCCCAGTGCCATGGAGCCAGGTTAGGGCAGGAGCTGGAGCTCACTGGCCCTTGGTGTTGAACAGATGAAGTTAGACTGAGGTGTCCTGGCATTCTACCTGGTTGCCCAGTCTCTAGGTGTTTCCAAGTGGCTGCTATCTCCACCTGTCCTGGCAGAGGGGGCTGTGGGAGCTGTTTCCTGACACCAGCTGCGACTGCAGGTGACTTCAAGAACAGAGTTCAGGGTACTCTAACTGCAGCCTGGCCTCAGGGCCGTGACGGGCATGAACAAAGACATGCAAAGAGCCGGGTAATCGTGGAAATTAATAATGGTAACTAATGGCTGGGTGCTTACAGAGACCATGGCAACGGGAACGAGTTCCCTCCTGCAGGCTGGTTCCAGAGCCTGTTTCTTTGTAAACAATCTGCATTTGTTTGTGAAAATCCATGGGGCCCAAGGTCTTTGAGAGGAAAATAGTATTGAAGGGAGCTGGTGTTGGTCTGGATCCTCTCATCTCTTCCTTTCCACACCATTAAGCATCTCCCTTGGGGAACCCGCACCCGTTTCTTGTCTAGGAAGAGAGAGAGTGAATCCCAGTTCAGCTTGTGGAGGGTCAGTGCAGCAACACCCATGAGAGGAAGACGGGCTCTGGCCAGGTGGGTTCTGGTGTGGCCCTGGGGCAAATCATCAGTTGCTCAGAGCCTTCGTTCCTTCATCTGCAAAATGGGGGTAAGGATGATAGCACCCTTAATAACACATCATCATCATCGCTGCAATATTTATGTATTACCTACAGCACCCCGGTGATGAAATGTTGATGAGTCCCTCTCTGTCCATAATATTATAAGTAACATTTATTGGCTGTAGTTGTAGACCTTTTATATGTGTCTCTTCATTTAATTCCCTTAATAGGTCTAAGAAGTAGGTGTTATAATTATTCCTATTTTATGGAGGAGGAGGCTAAGGTTTAGAGTTTGGTGATGGTGTGAAGTAGAACTCTAAGACGTCACCTGGGGAGAACTCTAAGACGTCACCTGGGGAAACTAACCAACACAGGGAGTTATGGCTTATATCTAGATGTCCCCCACAGCCTCAGTGCTCAAAGGTGGATCACAGATGTGTGATACTGCATTAGTCCTCTGACTGACTTAGCATAGTTCTTGGTGTAGATGATCACTGAGCTCACTTGGGCTCACTGAGGAGGAAAGACCAACCCTGGCTTATAGCCTGGGTGGAATAAAAGGGAAAGAAAAAGGAAAGCTCCCTGGCTCCTGCCTGCTATGCCATGGACTGTTTCTCTTCTGTAGTGTCCCTCCGCCATGCCATCCTGCTTGGACTCAGCTGACTGGACTGAAACTTTCACAAGCTGTGAGCCAAAATAAACCTTTCCTTCTTTAACTTGTGGGTATCAGGCATTTTGTCCCAACAACAAGAAAGTAACCAAGACACAGGGTCAGGACAGGTTCAGCTCAGTCACCCAGCCCACTGGCTCCTCAGTACTTTCTGACTTGGGTGGTAATGGCCTGAGAGGTCCTGCCCTGTCTGTGCAGAGTTGTGACTTTTGATCATCACAAATCAGGAGATTAGGAGCTGCCCCGACATCTCAAGAATAGGGCCAATGATGAAGCAGAGGCTGGTAGACACCCCACAATCTATCTAGCGCATCTCTCCACACCAGGACCAAGAATGACTTAGCCCAGTAATAGTGAGCCTTTTAGAGGCAAGTGCCCAAACTGCAGCCCCAAACCCACTTATTTATGGCAAAGTGCCAACACTGCAATTAAACCTGAATCACTGAGATTTCAGTCTAGAAAAGACAATTCATACATTAACATTTTTCATCTTAAAAAGAAAAAAAAAAACCTGAGTGCCACAGGCTCATCGTGGATTTAGCCCATAAGTTTGACAGTGCCCAAGTCAGACAGGAGAGGAAAGTGCACCAGGAAGGGCGGGAAGGTGATGAAGTGAGGGTGGAGGGACTATGCATGAAACCCTGTGACTGTAGGAGGTAGGGAGCTCCACAGATGGTGACATCAGGTCTGCCTGGAGCTCAAGAAAGAAGCGTGGTGGAGGTGCACGCCTACTGACCAGCTCCGTGCCTGTGTCTGGGCAGCCCAGTGTCCACCCTAGACTCCTGTGAAGGACGTGAGTGAGAGTCAAGGCTGGGAGCAGAGGCCCAGAGAGCAGCCTCCCTCCAGGTACCTATGGAGGGGGAAGAGGACACATCTTCGGGAACATCTTTGGGTGGAGCCACACAGTCTCCCTTTAGCCCCTGCTTTTGTAGCATCTGTAATGTCCCGGCCTCCTGCATTATAAGGACTGCAGACAGGAATTGCACCTTTGCTGCCTGGCACCCCAATCTTACCCCTTGCACTGGATGTTCCCAGAGCCAGGGGTGTTGGTAAGTGAGGTCCTCCAGACTTCTTCTGCTTCAGGCCTCCTCCCCCTTTGGTCATGGGAAGGAAAGTGTGGTTTTCTGTCCCATACCCCTCTATCCGATGCATGCCACATGTGTGTAGACGGAGTGTGCTGGACCATACATCGCCCTTGCCTGGGTGCCGGGCATTGTTGAAGATGGGGTGGGGGTACACACCACTCAGCTTTGAGGAGGGCTCTTGTAAGATCTGCCTACAACTATGTCCATTCAGAACCTCAGGGAGACCTGGCTGGGAAACAGAGACTTTGAGATGAGGTCGTCCCACAGTTAGGGTGGGTGCTAGAGTTAATGACTACTGCCTTTGTAAGGAGAAGAGATAGACAAGTTCTGGGTGTGAGGATGGAGGCAGAGCTTGGAGTTACACTGCCGCAAGTCATGGAGCACTGGAGCCACCAGGAGCTGGGAGGAAGGAAGGGAGAGTTTCTTTCTAGTGGCATCTGGCCCTGCTGACAGCTTTATTCCAGACTTCCGCCCTCCGGAATGGAGGGAGAATAAACTTCGTGTAAGCCCTGGGTCTGCGGAGCTTTGCACGCAGCCCCAGGAAAGCCAGCACGCTGCCTCTTGGTACACACACTTAACCCCAGACTCGCTTCTCAATCCTCCTGAGGCTTATTGTTTGGGTGACAGGGGAGGATTGGGAACAGGAGGCCTCTGGTGCCTCCCATCATTTGTGAGCTAGTGACTCACCTCAGAGAAAAGGACATTTTGAGGTGCAGTGAACTCCAGGCTCCAAAGCAGCTCCTGGTGGCTGGAGAAGCAGGTTTATTGCAGAATGTGCTTTGGTGTAACTTCCAATTCTGAATAAAGTGTTAGAGTAGAGATTGCTCATAACAACTGACCTTCACTGAGCACTTAGCGTGCACAGCACTTCAGAGGTCTCTCAGTGAGGTGTCTACACCTTCAGAGCACCCAGCACCAATTATCATCCTGGGTTGTTAAAATGAAGACAGAGCTGAGGAGAGCTCAATTGCAGAGAAGAAACAAGAATATAAAATATGGCCTGCGGGTGTCACAAGAAGCAGCAAGTCTCCACCCTTTGCAGCCTCAGGGAACATGGGACATGCTCTGAAGAGAAGTGGGCCATGTACTGGCATCACAGATGCCCACATCACCTCTCTGTCCTGCCCCCAGCCAGCCCTCTTCCGACATACTCAGGTTCAGAAAGGAGCAGAATGTGGACTCAACCATGGGAAACTTTGAGGTCCAGAGTGTGGTCTGCAGCTCTGAGCAGCGTCAGTGCCGCCAGACAGCTTGTTAGAAATGAGGCCCTCTGGCCATCCACAGACCAAGACAGAATCAGTCCCAAGAGCCTCTGGTACCTGGGAGCCCCTTAAAGCAGGAGGAGCTGGGGTAAAGGACACAAAGCCTCCCCCATCCAAGCTCTCCTGACTCACATGAGCAGGGCTTGGGGCAGCCGGACTCCACCCGAGGTAGGCAGGGTCCCCGGTCAGGGTCCTGGTCACACAGCCCACTGCAGCCATCGCTGACCCCATCGTTCTGTGACGTGACATAACCTGTTCCCACCTGGGACTCCCAAGCTGATATACCCCTCAGGCTCGGCCTGCATCATGGCCTCTGACTCTCACCAGAAGTTCATCATGAATAACTCCTTGCTCCTTCCCTTGGCGAGGGCAGGGCTGGAGGCTCCTGGGATGAGGGCGCTGGTCCCAAGCTTGGGTGAGACTGGGCACATTGGACTCTATGGCATACACACATTTTGAGGCACACTGCCGTCCCTGCCCCGTACTCCAGAGGGAGGATTGCTTTTGGGCTGGGGCCTGTGGTGGGTGTGTTCAGCCCTCGTGGGGATTCTGACATCTCAAAGCAGCTATGCTGGTGCGTCTGTTGTCACCCATGTCCTCACTCACTGTGTGGCTGCAACCTCCTCTGCAGGCCACATGCTCCAGGCTTGAGTGGAGGTGACAGCGCGGCTGTTTCCCACAGGCCCTGTCCTGGTGAAGAGGGACACTGGCAGCAGCCCCGCTAAACATTCAGTGTTGTCATGGAACAGGGGCACGAGCAGCTGCCTGGCACCTCAGGGACAGGGCAGTGAGGTCTAAATGGAAGAGCCTGAGGCGTGCAGGTGTCTGTGAAGTGCCCAGCAGCCATGGGCAGCACTCACTGATGCCACACACGTGCCCTGTCCTCGCCTGCGGACCATGGGCCCGGCCCAGAGCCTCAGGTGGGGCTCACAGTGTGCCATGGGGAGGGCTGTGACTCTGTTGGGGCTCGGCAGCCACCAGGCAGCCTCCTCCTGTGCTTCTTTCCCTCATTGGGCAGCTCATCAGAGCCAAGAACAAGGTCCAGAGTTACTCAGGCAGGGTACAACAGTGGGCTTGAACCTCAGGAAGGCACAGTCTGGGAGTGCTGTGGTCTGACCTTTCCTCCCTGAAACCGTGTCTTGCCCTGGCCCCACGTGCCCTTGACACAGGTGCTGAATGAGTGGCTAGTGTGTCTCTGCTCTCACTGTTCCTGTGTGCAGAACGCCCCTTCCTCTCTGGGACATGTCCCTGCATATCTGCAGAGGTGGTCCACACCAGCCCCTAGCGAAGTCTTCCTTAGACACTGAGTTTTTAAACATTTTCAAAGGTAGGAATTCACCAATGGATATTATACTGCAAATTGTTGTCACACAAATTGCTCAGATTACCAGATACAAGCATGCAAAATTGAACAAAATATTAAAAAAAAATTTTAATCATTAGCTGTTCCCCTCAACAAACCATCAGACACCAACAGTACAGTTATGCTTGCCTAGTGACACTGTGTATTGTCTCTAATGTTCTTTTAAATTATTTTCCTATTCCCTTTAATGATTTGGTCAATCTTCAATTCTTGTATCTGGTAATCTGAGCAACTTCACTGAAGGTAACAATATGTAATATGACAACCACTGTTAATCTCTATCATTTGGCTTGAAACCCTGTATCATTTTTAATGTCCTTGCTTTGTGTTGTTTGTATTCTGCTGTTGTTCTCTTTTTGTACTATTTTCTTTTAAAAAAAAAAAGAAGACGGTATATTTTCAAAGGTTAGGTATTTTGGTGGGAATTGGCCAAGACCCCTGTCTCTTTCCGCAGAGTTGTCTGCTTTCCACTCTTGCTGTCGGGCTGCGGAGGAGCCAGGACAGGACACACCCTTGGTGATGCAGCTGGCGACCTGCCCTCCAGGGTCAGGACACCAGTGGGCTGGGGCAGAATGAAGACCTCTCAGGGCCCGACATGGAGACAGCTTCCAATAACTTAGCTCTCGGCGAACTCACAGCGAGCCTCCGAACACAAGCATACCCTAGCTCTGACTCTCCTCCGCTCTAATTCAAACAGATAGTTTGAGCCCTGTTGTGTGCACTTGGGACATTTTAGGGAGTGATGCAATTCTGAGACTTAAAAATTCAAACACACACACACAAATTCAAACACAGATACAAGATACAAGCGTTTGTTTTAACAAGCAATAAAGTTCAAGTATACCATTCTAACTGCAGGTAGGGAAGGCATTTCGGAACGTTTCCATAAACAATCTAGGGCATCACAGATCTCCGACCTGGCTGGATATGTGGAAGGACTCTTCTTTTTGACAG